GAGAGGACAAAAAACTGAACTAACCTGAGGCCAACGTGGAACATTAACTCTTTTCAAATCTTTTAAGAGGTCAGGCTTTAACAAGAGTACTCTGTTCAGGAAAGGACCACCACACTGCAGGCAGATGATGATCACTACGTTTTTTCCATGTTATTCATTAACCATTTCACCTTGCTCTTCTCATTAACTGGAGGATGCACTGACACCCTGGCACTTGCTGCTCCAAACCACATCTGACGTCCTTTGCAAATCAGTGACCACTGCAGCGACAGTGTGCCGCCGTTACAGCTCAGGGCTTTTCTCCCCCCCAGAACCTGCTCATACACATCCCATACCCCTAATATCCGCTTTAAAGTGTTGCCTCGGCACCAAACCCTTTCCCCCAATCCCCTCGCCCGTGGTCTGTTGCCCCATTTCAGGGAACAGAAGAGGCTCCCACACATCAGCAGGAGGTCACGAGCCTTGCCCGGAGGTATCAGGTCACCTGCAGAAGCTGCTTCTCAAACCCCTCTTCCCTGGACAGGCTTGTCAGTCCCGTGTTTGAGAGCCACTCCTGGACACTGTCCCTGCTTTTCTTTAACTCACAACTCTCCCTGCGACACATGACTTCACCCTGATGAAGAACGTAATTTTTCCTACCCGAGTTTTTTGGGATCACTCTTAGTCACTCAGAAAAACTCATGGAATGTTACTGCTGCCCTTGCAGGGCCCTGAGACCCAAAGAAAGAAGCGTAGGTTTTCGTTCTGCTTCCCCAATTACTCCGCAAATTCTATGTACTGCATTATTGCCAAATTAAACCGCATTTACACACTTCCACTAAGGGAGAGAGATGGATATACAGTACATGTCCCATGTGTCTCTGTCTCCCAGCAAGCCCGAAGGCTGTTGGCACAGCACAGTCCCCAGCAGGCTGAGCTGATACCTTCCCACCTTTTTCCTCTGAGACAGAACCAACACCTCCTGGCCGGCTGGAAAACCCAGAGTTTGTAGAAATCTGTTTCACTGGACTTTTCCTTTTCTACCAGAGATTTGCTGTGATTATTTTATTATTCTCTTTACTCTGAAAACTATTGATTCCACACTATTTTTTGCATGGAACTTGACAAAATAAGTTAATTTCTTATTCTGCTTTATTTAAAAAAGGGAAATGGAAATCTCATTCCTAAAAGAGTTGCCTTTCCTGGCTCCTCACAGCAGTGTCACACTCGGCAAGCGGGGAGAATTCTGAGAATACGTAAAGCTTAACTGGGTGCAGAAGCAGAGAAATCATGCCAGTGGTCAGTTCTGACGGCCGTGAAAATAAGCCACGCAGAACTGAAGCAAAAATCTGGCTTTTTCCTTAATTCTTACATGTCTCACAAGGATCAACACGTGAGTGACAACAAACTGGCTGAGTCACATTTCTGTTTCTGTAGTATGTCCTTGATTCTGCGTGCTTCCTACTTACTCATCAATAAATCTTTCTGACCATAGCTGGACTTCAGACGCCCAGCAGATAATCTTTGTCCTGTTAGCATTTATGCCTCAGGACCTGAGGTAGGTAAGGTGACTCATAATTTTGTGCAGAAAACTCTGCCTGCAAAACTACAGAACTTGAAGAAGAAAATTCAAAAGCAGGAAAGCTTCAAAGCTGAACTCGGTTATTTTTTTTTTTAATTGTGCATGAAGCCCCGTTAATCCTGTGGGCGACAGCCTACAAAGGCTGATTCTTCTCCAGGAAAGATACTTCCTTTCCTACAAGGGCAGAAAGCATTTGGCTGAACCTAACTCCTTCACTGAGCGAAAGAAGCTGAAGTTTGGTTTGCAAGGCCCGCTGTTAGAACGCTGTCGCTTTCCCTGAGCTTCTCTGTGTCCTTACAGAAAAAGCAGAGCTGGTTGAGAGCTGCAAGAACCGTACGTGTCTTTCCTGAAGACGTTTCCCTCCAAGTCCAAGAGACCAATAGGAGTTTCTGTCAGATTCTTCCCCCAGTTCCTGTAAACAGACTGTGGAAAGGGCACAGCATTTCATACGATTATGATTAACCCACAGTGGATTTCAATTTATGGCAATCAGTGAGAATGTAATTATATACCTTGATCCCTAATTAACTACCAAAACTACTGAGTTAGCTCATCCACTGTACAAGGGCAGTGATTTCAGTGAACCAACACAGAAGTGACCTAGTACCCCCACAGAACAGCAAAAGACTAACTGTGGGCTTGGTTCTGCAAAATACTGAGCAACCTTCATGGATTCTGCTGAGCCAACAAGCAGAGCCAAAGTTGGACCGATTTGCCCAGGATAGCTGTCTTGCGCCTCCTTTATACTTTGAGAAATGGAATCACAGTCAGGCAAAGTGACCAACATGCAAAAATCCTTTCAAAAGTGGGACTAAACTCCAGCCCTTGATTGCCGGAGTGTGCTCTACTCTACTAAACGGCAGCTATGATGTCACTGAAGTGAACAGAATCCCTTCCCCTGGCTTGGCAGTAAGAGATCCTAATCCACTGCTAATGACCCTCTTCATCCGTAGGGTCAGAAAAGCCACTTAGAGCTGTCCTGCAGAGCACAGAACATAGCCCAGCCACTGAAAAACACAATCAGTTTAAGGCAATTAATTTTCTGACGAGTTTGTGGAAGAGGTTTTTTTTCAGTTTTTCTCTCTTCCCAAAAGCAATTGCATGGCAAAGGTCAGTATCCTGACAGCACAGGGAGGACATCTGATAAATGAGAGTCCATGTGGATCTGGGCTTTCCAGAACCATGAGGTGGTCCTGGGGGGACACAGAAGCCGAGGCACAGACACAGGGTGTCAAACGACACACGCAGCATGAGCCGTGGCAGAGCTGAGACCGCACCTGGGGCTGAACTTTCTATACTCTCATTGGCTTCCTACTCGCTTCAGCCCAGGTTGCCCAGGGTGATGGACATCCTACCTACCTGCTAAACTGTAGGAATAGGTGTTTTGGAATCTCTTTTTAGCCAAGGTAAACTTTCCGAGGTGGTGCTGCTGACATGGTATTTAGTTTGTGGTTTGAGTGTTTGCAGTTTGTTTATTCTGAGTGATACCAGGAAGAATAGCAAGAAGGGTTTACTTTTATGGTGCAAAAAGACACTGCTGGCATTCCAAAGGGAAGGATCGAAGGGGTGGTCTAGGACTCCACTGATGACCAGCACTTCACCCATGCTGAGCTCTCAGAGTTGGGGAAGGAGAGGGGATCCTGGCAGCAGCCACCACATGTGGGCTCATCCCCTTGGTCTCCCCACTGGAGGAAAGGAACTTGCTGAATGTGCTGGGATTGTGTCGGCAGGGAACTCAGCCTTAGGTAATCTTCCTGGGTCTGAGGAGGATCATGAGGAGTTCTCAGTGCCACTCCAGCAGGACAGGAGTACTTCATGGGGAGTCTTTCCTGCCTTGCTTCTTCCACCTTCATTTACATCTGCACAAAGGGCATCTCACCCCTGGCAGGCACAGAACTGCACTAGGTTAAAACCAACCGACCGATTAAAGGGACAGTTAAACAGACTCATCTGGGTTTTTTCTTTCCACCTAGAGTGATGGGATTTATCTTAAAATAACTGGGAAACTTTCTCTCTTCTCAGTCTTCCAATAGAACCTGAAATTTTTTAGATCTACTTTACCAAATGAGGAAACCTTTTACAGTCATTAGCCTTTACTCCTTAAACTGGCAGTCCCAATCCCTGCTAGAGGCAGGCAGCAGCTCCCTGAAGCACAGAAGGATGTGTCGGTATTTCTGCAGCCTACTTTAAGACAATTCCTAAATTTCAAGACAACAAATATTTACTCTCACTCTCCCTGATCCTGTAACTGAATCCATGTGGATGGAATCTTAAACCAAGAGTCTTAATGAAGTGCAAAAACCTTTCTGGAGACTGAATGCAAGATCAGGAACGTTGAGGATTTCCACTGAAGCACGTGGAAGCGTGTACAACAGGACTAATACACAAAATGCAGGTTGGTCTAAGTTTTCTGCTTTTCCAAGAACTCACACTAAACAGCCCGTGTGGTCTAGAAGAAAGAGGCTCTTGTTTCTAACGCCCCTTCTGCCAGAGGCCAGCTGGATGGCTATGGACCTATTCCTTTACTCTGCCTTGGAAGAGAATACAAATCCACAGAAGACAAACAATATAAGTCACAGATAATATTTAAATGAACTTAAACTCTATTTTACCAATAACTTGTCATAGTATTTCCAGGATTTTCTTCTTGTACAGACCAGAACTTGTTACCAAAAGTGGAAACAATAGAGCAATACCAGGAAAAATTTCAGTAACTCAATTCTTCTCTGTGATAACCTCGAAATGAGCCAGCTTCTTTGAGTGAAGTGAAAGTATCAAAAGCAAAAATATGAAAAAGCTTTCAAGTGGACTGAAAGGCCAAGCACTGCATTTGGCTACACTGACTTTTCCAATGTACCTAGGTTCAAACAAGTTGGTCACATAATCAAGAGCTCAGAGCTCCACACCCCAGAAGGCTTTTCCCTGCCTAGGAGTGGCTTTTGTCATGCAAAAGGAGTTGGAAGGGCATCTACATGACACAGCCATCACAGTCTCAACACAATTATAGAGACACTTACCATGCAAGGACTAGACACAGTCATCTGGAAGCGGATGCACATACACAGACATATTTTTTATAGAAACACACAAAATGTAGCACTCACCGGCCACCAAACCATGCTTCGTCCAGCCAGGAAGAACCCACCTACTGTCCCTCGGTTGGTGGAGTACATAGCCTGGGAAAAAGAAAGAAAAAAAGTGAGGAGGAGAGATTGAAGAGTATTTTAAGTACATAAACTATACCCAGGCTAAGGATAAAGAGCTAGAACAGAGGGATAAAATACATGGGGAGAGTAAAGGGGAAGAAGTAAACGGAGTGGCTACAAAGAACAAGCTTATGATGAAGAAAAGAATAAAACTGAGCCATGATTCTTGTACCGAGCTCTACATCAACCATTCAAGCTGAATTGCATCACCCTTCTTTACAGTGCTAAACATTAAAATAGCATAAAATTTAACCCCAAAAATGATCACTCAAACAGAAGCTCATGTGAACGCCTCAGGAGGGGTGCAATGCCTTTGGTTTCAGGCACCAAAGAAGACTCCAGGTTGTGAGTTCACAAACAGGAATTGTGCAGCTTTTTTACCCAATGTTCTCCAGCCCCAGCAGATAGCTGCAAAAATCTACCTTTTGGTTGTGACATCAGCATTGTACCTGCTTCTCCCTGAAGTTCAAACAAAGAAGCCACCTAAAATTTCCTTTTCACACACTCGTTTTTTTTATGTCAAGGGATGGGCTTTAGAGGGAAGCTTCTCCGATTTTTGTTAATGACCTTGATTCAAATACTGGATTCCCATTGTCTTCTCTGCTGGACTTTGAACAGGCAAATAAAGAAAGAAGGGTTGGGGAAAATAGCCAGATCTTCTCTTCTGATGCAGAAGGGAAGTACATGCAATTGATTTACCTTTAACTACACATAGCAACTGAATAAGTATTTGTCCAATAAAGAGGACATTGTTGCTGGAAGAAACGGATCCAGGAATTACTCAGCACACAATTGCTTGACAAGCCACAGATTTTTTTGCCACAGACCTTTAATAAAAAGTTCAGCTACATCAACCACCAGACTTCCGCGGCACAGACCCGGCTCCCGCCCTCAGGACAGCGAGGTGCTCGCGTAAGCTGGCGGCTTCAGGGGTTTTGCTACGTCTCTGGCATTTACTACCACAGTGAAGAGGTACAGGAAAGGCTGTCTCCATTTAGTGTACACCCCACATTTCTAGTGCTCTTCAAAACCTTGCCAGGCTGCTCGTAAGGCAGGTTTGTTTTGCAGCTGACTTCTCGGTGCTGTGACACGGACCCCGGGATGCTCCTGGCAAGCACAGGATTGCTCCCCTCTGCTTGATAAGGGTCAGGTGTCCGGTGACCCGGGGAGCTTGCCCCAAGGAAACCGAAATTCAGTGACATTCCACTGTTTACAGCTTTGTAGCTCACAGTATTGACCCATTATCTTCAAACCCTTTAGCACCGAGGTTACACCGATAGGACAGTATCTGCCTTTCTCCATCGGCTGTGAAAGCACTGGGCTTTCTTTTCGGATTAGGCACTGACTTTTCCCTTGCAGACCTCAGCACATTCAGCTGTGCCTGGGTGGGGGCAGGAGGCACCCCTGTGCTTAGATCACCAAAAGAAAGTCACTGTCATCACTTGCCACCCCTGAAACTGTTCCTTCCTCATAGTTTCAGTGGCACTGCACCCTGCAGCCAAGGTCCTGCTGGCACAACCGGCCGCGATAACGCTGACCTCAAACGGCACCCGCGGCCTTGACCCATCTCGCCCCTTTGCTGAGTGACCTGCAGTGCCCGGACTGCCACAGCCACAGCTCCAGCTGTACTGCTACAGCACCAAACTGCCCCCCGGCACGTTGGCTTCACCTCCCATCTCCCTGCAGCTCCTGCTTCTCACTACAGCCTCCGGCAGCCCCTCACACCACCAGCCCTCACCGCAGTCCCTGGGCTCCGGTGCTACATCCCATCTAGCCACCTCCAGCCTGCTTCCCACAGGGACTCCAGCTGGCCTGACCTTTACCAGTCAGATCCCAGCTCCTTCCACGCACAAACCTTCCCTACTAGTTCCATTAATGCCCCTAAATGGGTGTCACCATCCCCTCTCCAGTAAATACCCACATTCTCCCCACCATGCACTTATCAACCAACTCAGGCACCAAAATCGTTACACAATTACACATTTTCATTTTCCCAGGACCCTATAAACTACCTGCTCATTAAGTAAAAAAATCAATCAATCAAATAAAATAAAATCCCAACCTACCCATAGTCCCACTGCCAGGACTACCAAAAAATAGATGACAATAACAGAGATGTCCGCGGGATTGTTGATCCTTATGTTGGACTCCATCCTGGCTGCTTCTCCTGCTTTCTTCTTCTTTCTCTCCTTATATACTTCTTGCAGAGTCCAGGTTAATGATAAACTGCTGTCATCCCCTATGTCTGATATAATATATAACTTCAGATTCACTTGTCGCCCGTGGGACACAAACTGAAGCTGCTGCTTTTCCTCAGACAAGGATCCCCTTCCCCAGCACTGCTCCTCTGCTACAGGTGCTGCTGATCTCAGAGTCCAACCCCCCTGCCAAAGGTGCTCAGGGTTTTAACATCCAGGAGCAGATGTCTGAGAAGGAATGAGCACGGAAAGGAGTGGCTTGGCTGCAATAAACCCACATATTTACCTCACCGTGAATACTCTTTTTTTTTTTTTTTTTAAGCGGTTGTACCTGTAAATCTAGTCACGGAAGATGTAGTTCTTTTACATGATGATGGCAAGCAATTATCTGTGAGGAGGAGTGACCTGACACCTGGGGAAATCCCAAGTGTCCAGGAGCTGGGACACCCTCTGTGTCATCTCTCAACTCGTTGGCATTATTCAATGGAGAAACAGCCCTGTATTTCTGGGAAGGAGACATCCTGAAGTTGCTGACATCTCTCACATGGATACAGGTAAAGATGCATGTGAACCACAAGACCCAGGCGCTCACTGTGCTGAATTTCAAAGTGTTTAGACCACAGTGTTGGTTCCCTCTGCTGCAGCTCATCAGCTTCACATTTAAATAAGTTCAAAGTTCATCAGAGCTTGGGTCTGCTCTCCCGTTATTTGTTCCTCTGACATCACAATCAAGCCAAGCAAAATAACTTGTCACAAAGATGTAGAACACAGTGATTATAGACAGGTCTTCACAGCTCTTAATAAGGAGCATCCCCAAGAGATGCCTGTGATCCTCTGTTTGAGCTAGAAGAGGTCAGAACAATCCAGAATACTTAGAACAAGAGACACAGGTGCCAGGCACATTTCTGGGCTCTGAGGATATCTGAAAGTCCCATTCTCAGCTTAATTCTAGGGAGTCATTACTCATTTACAGCTGACTAGGCTGCATTTTGAGAGTAAAATGTTACCCTGAAGTTACACTGAGCAGAACGAGCAGTACAGTATGGAGAAAGCACAGCGGGTCTGACTGGTCTTCCACTGGTTATTTCCCCGGGAGCTGAAATTGAGGTCTGGCGCTCTGCTCATTGGCAATTAATTTTTCTTAGGTAAACCACCCTTTGGTAATTGTGGCTAATAAAAAGCATCAAAGTCTAGGAAGCTATAATAAAGTGTGATTACCTACAAGAATAAAATCAAAATCTCACTGTTGTTTGAGCACCTATACTCTTATAACACAGCCCTGTCTTCTGACAGTTCAGGCATCTCTCCCAAAACATTCTTCAGTTTGTCCTACAGGACTGTGAAATGTTAGCTTTAAATCCAACAGAGAAAAAATTAACCCTGGAAGTTGCTGAGCATCCAAAATTCCCATTAGCTGCAACCTTCCCTGCTGTGTATATCGGAGGAAAAGAAAAGACTTATTTACTAACCTTAATTATCAGGCAACAGTTTGCCTAAGATAGGCTGCAGATGGCACTTCTTTACAAAGATTGACATAGATTCCTATGGGTCCTTGCAACCAACAACAAGTTGGGTTTTCATGAATTCCATCTCTCTGTCAGTCTACAGAGGAAGAGGAAAAAAGCCATTAGCCAGGAACTTCTCTACCATAGTGTATCCTGTGTTCTCCTCCAGACCTCTGCAAAAAGGAGTTCAGAAACACTAGAGTCTCCTGCCCACAGCCCCTGGTGTGGCCATATCAACAAGACTCCAGGGTTTGAAAGAGTCATGGAGAACCACTCTCTAAAAAATAACCATCATGCAATTCCTGTATGTATGTGCAGTGGAAACAAACAATTTTGTTTTCTGTCTGAAGGCCACAAATCCAACCCAAACACTCTCTACAAGACTGTCAGAAAGGGGAGGCAGCTTTGGCGAGGCTCTTACTCTCAATATCTCATCTCCCCATCCTCATATCTGCAGTCCAGAGAAAACTAGAAGCATTATACTCAGCAGATTGCTGGTGTAGGAGATGAATCACTTCATGAACCAAATGCCTCTGAATGGTCTCTGAAAGGTCAGCCAAGTTTCCAGATTTGAAAAAAAGCTGAACCTACCTTTGTGTTAAAGCTTTCAAAGATAAGCAGGAGTAAACCTCCTGATGTGAGGAGTGAACTTCGCATCAGGAGACAAGGACAACCTTCGTCTTGACTAGCTGTGTGCTTCAGTGGGTGCTCTCATCCTCAAGCATCTGGTCAAGCAAGTATAGTGCTCCAGGACTGGAGAAAATGGCAAATAATTTGATACGCTGAGGAAACTTCTCTACTCCTCCCTGAGCCAGCCAATTCATTGAAGTAGGAGATTTTAATGGGGATGAGAAAGCAATTAGTCCCAGTAGCAAGCACGGTGGCTGTGATCCATGTCTACAGTGATTGCTCCCCTCTGGATCAAGTCTGATGACAGCTTATCGTGAATATGTCTGTTCATACCTGAATACAAAAACCAGACCGTGGACGAGAGCACAAGCAGCCACAGAACCGTGTAGTAACTTGCTCAAAACCACAGACCAGGTTACTGATGAAGACCAAGCAGAACTATGTCACGGATTTGCACATCCAAACTGCAAGGGCTGACAGGGGCACCACTGTCTTACGGGGTACAGGGCAGGTACATGAACTATAGAAGCTGCAATTGCTCTGTTGTCAGTCGACAAGGGGGCTATAGCATAGAAAATTTGAGAATTACAGCCCTTGCTGCCATGTGGTCCCTTAAATACTTGTGTGCAGGTCTTCCTACTGAAGATGGAAAATGATAAAACAAACAGTAAAACAAAATAAAAACTAAGAGAAAGATGCATTAGTGTGCAAACTACCCCCTCAGAGGAACTCCTCTAATCTTTTCTCTGACCTTTCTCCAAAGTTCTTTAAAAAGCAAGCAGATTTCTTTGTGGGATGCTCTTCAGAAATGCTAATTTATACACAGGATCCTCTGTACAAATAATAAAGGACAAAAAACAGTGGAAAAATATGCAGTTATTTTACATGCAGAAGGCTATATGCTACATCAGTAGAGTCTCTCTCCTTTTGCTGGTTTCCCAGTCACGTAGTATGAACTTAGTGAGAAAAGAGATTATACTTGCAAGCAGGCAAAACATAAATTCAAAGTCTCTCAGCAAAGTTTTCCTGAGATGGTCCTAATAAAGGAGGATGGCAGTTAGAGTAGGAGAGGATCCTAAAGGATGTTTTTGCACCTGTTGTTTGATGCCATGAGAGTCTTCTCTCTGTGCAGTCTTGTTTAAGTGGGCAAAACCAGGGTCTAATTAAAGAATTAGTCACAGAAGGATGACAAAAATGTTGGAAACTAGAAAGTGGAATCCATAGAAGAGGAATTACTAAAGGGAAAAAAGAACCAGACTCCAGTAGGTATGATGTAGGTAGAAGGAAAAAAACAGTAGGAAAGCAGGTGCCTTCCTAAAAGGTTATCAGAAAGAAAGCAAGGTCATTCTATTCTTATTCACTTAGAGGATCAGATCAAGAAACACAAGAAAGAACCATCAGGTTCTGTCAACAGACAGAAAAAGATAACAAAAATAAAGTGAGCACTTGCTAGACTAATTTTCTAATTAGTATCTCTATGGAGAAGAAATATCAGGGGACATAAAAATAGGTTCATATGCAGAAAGACCAACAGAACTGAAGCAAATAAATATATTCAGCTCTTCAGCAACTGATTAGGTTATCTCTGTGTGATCACTAGGTACGCTCAGCCCCGCAGTGTCTAAGCACCACCAATGTTAGAAAAACAACATCCCAAGGACTGTACTCCTCCTACAAGGCTAAGACAGCAAATAAGGTAACTTGAATTTATTTTTGGTTTATTAATGTTTTAGTAGGGGAGGATTAAGGGCAAGAGATGGGTTCGAAATTTCCACTGGGACTAAATTGAATAGCAGACAGAAAAATACTGCCAGAACCAATGCAGGCTGTCACCAGATTTAGCCACCTGGCAGCAGGACAGATTGTTCCCCACAAGCAACTTCTTAATTGAGCAGCATTCTCATTAAAACAGAAGTATGATTATCTCATAGACTGTCTAACACACAACTTATTTACTATCTTCATGATCTAACACATCATATTTTGTATATGTCAGAGGCTTGCTCATCCTTCTTGGGAGCTTCCTACCTTTTCCCTAAAACAATGTTTCCAGAAAAATACTTTTAGAGATTAATAACTGCTGATTTGCCACCTTAGCTAAAATTAAACGACAGAAGGAGTTAGCCAGAGTGGCTGCACAACCATGATCACAACCCTCACAAGTATTTTTGCCACTCATGTTTCCAAGATGCTTTAGGGAGAACAATATCTCCACTGCATAACACGCAGGAGATGGGCTGCTGATGCCCCTTCCACTGAAAAAGTTCGCCAGTTTTTCAGGTGACCCAATAAAACCCCTCGTTGCTCACACTCTGTTTTGCTTGAAATAAATGTAATCACTCATCAGCAACGGATAGCCTCAGCCCTTGTGGATATGTTTTGATTGCTCTACAGCAATAAGCAGCAACAAATGTATTATTACTATTAATTGTATTTGGCAGGTTAATGTGATTTAAGAAATCTAAGTGGAGGAGGGAAAATATCATAATCTACTACTGTAATAGCCTAATATAAATGTCCAATTTGCTCTACAGGGTCCCAGGGGCTCTTCAGTTAAGCCTCTTGTTTGCCCAGTATTTGGTTGGAAAATTAAATGAGGAAAAAATCTGAATAATACTGTACAAAATACAACATGAAGCTTCTGGAAAACCAGTAAGAACAGAAAACATTGAAGAGAGCCCAGAGGAAACATTCTCTAAGGAACCTGGGCTGAAGGAGGCAGTATCTGCATATGGCACAAACACTTTTTTGCTATTGGAGCAATAAGTTGATCAGAAACAGGGAACAGTGAGACATGGGAATCCCTGGTCAGGATAAAAG